ATTTTGGAAAAAGATTAAAATATAGAAACTTCTGCTATATCAGTTAGCAATCCACCCCCATCTTCTCCTTCTTTGCATGCACAAGGTAAAGAAAGCAACATACTATTTCTGTTCCTTACTTTTTTATCTTTTTGTTTGACTACTACAACACAAAATTCAATGACATGGAAAAGAGATGCCTTGTGTTACATTTGCACCATTCAAAAGTTTCTGATAAAATGTCATTAATAACAACTACATTTCAAAAGACTTTTTGCACATTTCAGAGACTTTTGTGCAAAAATAAAAAAGTTTTACTGGGTGGCACATTTAAATAAAATATTGATGTATGTTCTATAAGAGAATTCAAGTCAATATCCTAGGAAACAAACTCTTTTATAGAATAGGTGATAATTAATCAAAACAGTATATAGATAGGCAAGCACATGTCCAAACATAGGTGAATGACGACCACATTCTTGCTCTACCTTAGCTTATAAATCAAGGCACTGATCCTTCAAGGTGTTGGACACACTGAATTCACATGGAGGTAAACAATAGTATCTTGCAGGATTAGGCCCTAAAATCAACAGGATTTCACTGAGTCCAGAATCATCTCTGGGGTTGGCAACTGTCAAGGTTGCAATTTAGGCAATATGATGCACCAAGGATGTTAAATTGCGGTAAATTTACTAGTCGAGTAGTCGACGGAATTTCCATCGACAACTCGACAGGCACTTCTGCATTCCTCCTTTGAAATGTACAAGAGCCCCCACTGCAGTCTTGTACATTTCAAAGGAGGAATGGAGAACACCACATGCAGCCTAGGACCAGCAGGAAGTCCTGCTGATTCCCGGCTGCAGGCACATGTCCCAGCTTTGAAATGTACAAGAGTCCCCAGAAGGGGCTCTTGTGCATTTCAAAGCGGAAGCGCACTCATGGAGCCCAGGGTCAGTGGGAGACTCAGTCTCCCGCTGACCCTGGGCTCCATGTTGCACTGCCAATTTGAAATGCCATGCGGAGTCCGGGGTCAGCTGGGGACTGCCCATCTGATCCTGGGTTCCGCAGAAATGCCGCACAGAGCCCAGGATCAGCTGGGGAGTCCTCAGCTGACTTTGGGCTCCAGGCACCACTGCTGCTTTGAAATGCCGCCTCTTTGAACACCCCCTTAGAGCTTCAAAGGGGAAACGCAGCACTGCTGAGCCAGGATCTGCCCTTTGAAGTACTCCCTCTTCTCCCCCACTTTGCTGCCTATCTGATAGAGGCAGTAAGGAGAGTCATCGACTAGTCGACTGATTATCTGATAAGCATTTGCTTATGGGATAGTAAATTAGTCGACTGGTCTTTAACATCCTTAGCACAAACTTGCCCTGACAGTGGACTAAACATCACATTCTCAGCCTTATACAAAGGCTCTTATGTAAAATTCAGTGGAATCCTGAAGTGAAGTTTTAATGACTTTTTTTTTCATAACCAGGGTTTTAGATTATCTTG